AGTGGATGGGACTCAGGGCAAAACTGGAGATGCTTCCAAGTGGTGTGTTGGCAAGGGAGTAGGAACTCCAAGAATGAGGCATTTTTCCTACTGATAGGAAAAGGGAAAGGGGTTTGAGAGCTGGCTTGGAACCCTTATACAACCAGAACTAAGCAGAAGTCCAGAAAATCAGGGTGGGAGCTCCATGGATGAGGCACACAGTCAGACCAAAGTAGATGAGCTGAGCTGAGTGGGTGGAGCATAAGAACGCTGCTAGCCTCTAGATTTCTTCAGGGTGAGGGTGAGGATGACCTTTATAATGGCTTGAATTATGACTCTACAAAAAATATACTTGAGTCTGAAATCCCAGTTCCTCAGAATGTGGTCTTGCTGGGAAACAGGGTCTTTATAGACAGATAAGTTATGATGAGGTCATACTGGACTATGTTGAGCCCTTAATGCAATGTGACTGGTGTCCTTATGAGAAGTGAAGAGATAAAACCACACAGAAGGTGATGCTGTGAGACAGTACAGGAAAAAGGCAGAGTGGGGCAGCTACAAAATGAGGAACATAGAAGGCTTCTAGGATCTGCATAGGCACAGAAAGACCTTTACCTGGAGCTTTCAGTGGGAGCACAGCCCTGCTGACACCTTCATTCATACTCTTGGCTTCCAGAATTGTAAGAAAGTAAATTTTGGTTGTTTAAGGCACTACTTTTCTTAGGGTAGTTTCAGGAAGCTAAAATAGGTTTTGGTGCCAGGAATTGGGGGTTTATGTAAACAAATACCACAAATACCTAAGAACGTGGAAATGGATTTGGAACTGGATAGAGTGGACAAAGGATGCAGGGCTCTGAGTTATATAGTAGAAAGAGCCCGTACTGCTTAAAGAAAAGAGAAAAAGAAAAAAACCTGTTGGTAGGAACACAGAGTGAAGCCAGGTATGCTACTGAATATCTGTAATCCCAGCACTTGGAAGGCTGAAGTAGGAGAATCATGGTTTCAAGTCTATCCTGGGCTACATAGTCTCGGTATTAAAACCAATTTAGCAATATGGATAGTAAACACAGTTGTGGTGCAAGCTCAGAAAGAAGAGAGCAATAGAGATTTTTTTTTTTTGGTTTTCCAAGACAGGGTTTCTCTGTGTAGCTTTGAAGCCTATCCTGGCACCTGCTCTGTAGACCAGGCTGACTTTGAACTCACAGAGATCCATCTGCCTCTGCCTCCTGAATGCTGGGACTAAAGGTGTGCGCCACCACCACCCGGCTCATAGTGAGGTTAATGATAGCCTAGGATTCGTTAAAGCCCTGTCACAAAAGAAAGGGGGGAAGAAAGAAAATGTTAGCTAACTGTATTGTAAAAACCGAGAAAGCAGTCCAAACCTGCAATCCCAGCATTTGATACAGTAACACAGGACGATCACCAAGAGTTTGAGAGCTACATAATATAATAAGTTCAAGGCCAGTCTGTGCTATAGAGTGAAACTCTATCAAAAACTCTGAACTATTTTACGGACTAGGAAAGTAACTCAGTGTAGAGTATTTGTTCAGTATGGATGAGATCTTATGTTCAATTACCAGTACCATAAATAAAAAAAAAAGCATTCTTTAGAGAGAACACAAAGAGAATGGCTGGCTTAGGATTTACTAAAGAAAGGAAGCATGTGATTGTGGTTATGCTTCTGTCTTTCAGAAGCCTGGGCTTGAGATGGGATTATACAGGATAGATCTGTGGAGGACTCTTTTGTCTTATAACCTGGGCCCTCATAAATCACATGAGAGGCTAGCAAACTTTGTTAGAAGTTTATACCAACAGAAACACTGTCAGCCTATGAAAAGGACAGAGATTAGAAGAATACAAGGAAGAAAGGAAGGAAAGACAGAAGGAAGAAAAGAAACAAAGAAGGGGGGAGGGAGGAAGAATAAGGAAGGGAGATTCTGAATATAGAGCCAGGAATGAAGAGGCCAAAGAGGGCCCAAACCAAAGGGTGACACTATCTCCTATTCCAGAGGATGGGGTAACTTTAGTGAGTCTACAAGGAAAAGAAAAGTATATGGACATACACATTTCTTTTTAGGTCTTGAAATCTCGAAGAATTTCCCTGCTATGTTTGGGATTTGCTTAGGACCATGAGTGCCCCCCTCCAATGTCTTCCATTTGGAATGGGAATTTTTTTCCTTATGCCTGCCCCTCTCACCTTCTGTTGGTGGGTAACTTTACTAGGTTCACAGCACAGAAGGCTATGATAGCTAATTGGGGAGAGAGTCAGATGGACAACAAGTATCCTGGTGGGCTGGCTGGCAGTAGGCAGGGATGTCACAAAAGGCAGTATGATTTGCAGGCACAGGACAGGATAGGGAAGGGACAGGAAGCTTACCTGCAGTCACTGAGTTCTCTGGGCCTGTGGATACAGAGAGTTGTTTCTGTTAGCATGGAGGCCTCCAGGAACCTACAGCAGAGCAGCCAGGATCAGGGGCTTGAGGCCTAGTCAGGCTACACTTGGCATGTTACCCACTCAAGTCCCAATGATGCCCTGATGTCACTTGCTCCAGGAAAACAATGAATTGGAATTGTAAATAGTGCTTAAGTGACTTGGCACCAGTGACAAGATATAGAGTCCCTTGTGTATCTCAAAGTCCAGCAGAGAATCCAAGATGATCAAATGTTCAGTGGAGGCCTTTTCACTCCTTACTCTCACTCTATCAATTTCCACTTAATACTGGATTGCAATTAGGGTATGTCGCTCTCATATTAGTTGGTAGGGACAACAAGGCTGCATTTGTGTTAGAAAATAGGCCGAAGGCAGCAAAAAGCCTGTCAAGAAGGGGATGGAAAACCCAACCATCACACCCCATATTGAACACGTCTAAAGTGAGGCAAGAGGGTCTGCACACTCACTGGTGAAGAATTGCTGAATTCGAGGAAGGCCACCACCAGGACCACCCAGGAGGATGGTGACTAGGATCCAGGTGAGACCCATAGTGATGATTAGGGCCACGATTCGAAGGGGGCCTGCAGGCAAGACACACACAGCGCAGGTCCATCTCAGACACCAGTGAAACACGGCAAAAACCCACTGCCTCACATGACCCCAGATCTCCCGTTCTATTTGGCAACAAGTGATGGCAGGATTGGAAGGTGGAGGAACCATTGCTACCCACCAGACCCAAGAGGGAGACTTGAACTTACTCCTGGTGGAGGGAAGAAAGTGAGTTTAAATGTTGAGGTTACTTTGGACAGGTTCCATAGCACCAACCTCAGCATCTTGACTCTGAAACTGTCAGTGTATTTACAGCTCACCCATCTGTCTCTCCTTTCGCCTTGTTCTGATGGAAGATCTAAACTCCTTTTGAAGACCAGTCTTTCTACTTGCTTCAAGATCCATCAAGTTCTCTTTTGTCTCAGGTAGGATGTGTTAAAGCTCCTTCTTTCTATCATCTCACTTTCATATTATTAACAGGTCCTAACTTAATAACATAAAGATGAAACAGAGCTCCTGCAAGAAAAATCTCATCTTCTGACTCCTTACCTTCCACTTTCCTACCAAACTCTTTAAAACTTTATACTGTTGCTGGGGATATAGCTCTGTGGTAAAGCATTTGTCCAGCATGCATGAGAACCTGGGCTTATCTTCATGATGTCACATTTCTGATTGCCTGCCTGCTGTTTGTTGACATCTGGGTGGGCTGCCCTAGCCATCCTGATGCAAACACTTTACTGCTAGCTTCTAGGACACAACTGTCTCCTGACCTCAGTCTTTGGGACTTTCTCTTTTTTGGTTATGTCATCTTCAATTACTCTCTCCTCAAAAGCTATTCTTTTCCAGGCTGCCTTCTCCAGTCTGCATACTCTCTTTATGGGAGATTTCATCTACTTCATTTATCAAGTTAAACAGCATGCAGCAATGACACCTTATTTTCTGGCTCTAGTCCTGATCAATCTTGAACCCACATCCTCCACGTCAGTTCCTTATAGCCCTTACTAGGATTTATCTATGAAGTTGCTACCTTATCAATTCTTGAATAGTACTCTTACCCCAATCAGTCCCCTCCAAGAACCATTTTCATCCCCACAAAGTATCTTCATCTTAGTTGTCCAGCTGACAGCAGCCACGCCTCTCTGCCCCTACTCTCTACACCTCCCAGCCACTAGACTCTCTGGAACCTTTGTCACAAGTCATTTTCCAAAATGCAGCTGGCCTGTTATTTGAGTTGGGTACAACTGACTATATATTAATCCTTAACTTATAGTTTGGGAAGCCGAAGTCCTCAGAGGTGAAAGAATTTGCTCATAGAATAAGTGTTTGTGCACAGTCATCCATTAATATATAACAAACCAGTGACTACTTGGGCCCCTCCTGACTCAACTACTAGGACGTCTGGACTCTCTTCCGTTCGTTGTAGAAGCCACCCACCTGCCAATCTCATGTCCACTTCTCCCACTGGGTTGGGACCTTCGGCAGGTGCACTGTTTAAGGACCGTGGGCTCTGGGAGGAATGAAGCAGGAGAGTGAGTAGGTTGGGTGGTGGGGTAGGGGCAAGTCTGTGCTGGGCACGATCAGTGCTACAACTTGTTCCTCCAGACACCAGACCAGGCTCAGTTCCTCGTAAGCGCTGGAAGAAGCACTTCCTAGCCAGCAGGTCCTTGGGAACCCGTCGCGGCTCTGCTCTCAGTCTGGCTAACAGAAGCCTCCAGGACTGGAACGTAGCAATTGTTCTCCCTGACCCGGGCCCCTCCCGTGCTAGGCCCAGGGATCGGGTTGATCCTCTCGAAGCTGCTGGCAGAGACCCGGTAGGCCAATGACGCTTCCTGGGTGTAGAGAGACGCAGATCGGATCAGGGAGTTTCTCAGTGGTGACACTCTGCCGGCGAGCTGAAGCAAACGAGTCACGTAAAGAAGCTTGGCCGGCACGACAATGGCTACCCTGGGAAGGCCACAGCCCACAGGCGTCGCTCTGCCAAAAGCCCATAGGCTGCGCTGTGAGGCCTCAGGTCCCCACGCAGGCTCCACCTCCAACCTGCCTCCTCCCTCTTCTCCAGAGGCTGGGTGGGAGGTGCCTAGAGAGGCTATTTCCCTGTTGCTTGTACTCAAACTGAGCCACCTAGCTTCCTGGAAAGAGCCTGAGTCATTGCTGCCAGATGAATCTCCTTCTATACTTTTTTTTTTTTTTGAGATAGGATCATACCCTATGTCATGCTGGGATTACAGGGTAAACCACCACAGCCAGCTCCACCGCTGCCTCCACACACCCTCTTTTGTGGGAGATCTATTTCTACATTTGGTGAGCTGAAGCTGTGACTTGAGATCAGAGCTCTCATAACTGGTAAGAGGATGGATCTGGGGACATAGATAATGACATAAGGTTAACATGTGTTTTTTTAAGAACATGGAAAGTCCAGAAGCATATGTGAATTTAAAGCAAAGCCGGAGTCCCAGAGGGTGAGCCTTTGGTTGCTTTCTTTCTGCTGTTTTTTTTTTCCCCAGAGAGTCTTTTTTCTATTTTATGTATCACTCAGTGAGGTGATGTCTGGAATGTAACCCTCGATCCTCGTGCTTGAGCTTCCTGTCTCAACCACCTACAGTGCCAGGGCAATTGAGACAGTTGTTTCAGCTAGATCCATCTGTTTACTCAGGCAGCAACTGGACAGAAGTAAAACAACATTCCTGTCCTTTGACCCAATGATCCCACTTATAGAAACTCCACCCCACTTAGGTAATGCTCCAAAATATAGAAAAAGTTTATAGAAGCACTCTTTTGGTTAGAACATAGCATTTTCAATTTTGGTACACCTATAATCTTGGCACCTGGGAGGTGGAGGCAGGAGTATCAAGAGTTGAAGGCATCCTCAGCCATTTGTCAAAAACAAGGATAGTCTGAGATTCATTAGGCCTTGTCTCAAAAAAAAAATGGTGGGGGAGAGATGTCTCAGAGGTTAAGAGCACTAACTACTCTTCCAGAGATTCTGAGTTCAATTTCCAGCAAAGGTGGCTCACAACCATCTGTTTTGTTTTGTTTTCCCAGACAGGGTTTCTCTGTATTGTTTTGGAGGCTATGGGTCCAGCCCGGCCTCGAACTCACAGAAATCCGCCTGCCTCTGCTTCCCCAGTGCTGGGATTAATGGCGTGCGCCACCACCGCCCGGCTTTTCTTTTCTTTTCTTTTTTTGTTTTGTTTTGTTTATTTTTGGCTCACAACCATCTGTAATGAGATCTGGTGCCCTCTTCTGGCCTGCAGGGTTACAGGCCAGAAGAACACTGTATATATAATAAATAAATAAGTAATTCTGTGTCAAGCTTTTTTAAAATGGTGGGAATGGAGAGTCAGGTGTGCTAGTTTATGCTTGTAATCCCAGTATTTGGGAGGCAAAGGAAGGAGAATCAGGAATTTAAGGCCAAGATCATCTAAAAGTGAGTTTGTGGTCAGCCTGAACTGCATGAAAATCTATCTTTAAAAAATGTTGGGTGGTATTTTCTTGATTGCTCATTGATGCGGCAGTACTGAGCCCATTGTGGGCAGTGCCATCTCTAGGCAGGTAGACCTACTTGGGCTGTTTGAAAAAGGTAGCTGAATGTGAGCCTGGAAACAAACTGGCAAATATTCTTCCATGTCTTCTGCTTTAGTTTATGCCTTCAGATTCCTGCCTTAAGTTCCTGCCCTGTCTTCTCCTTAGTGACAGATTATGATCTGGGAATTATAAGATGAAATAAGCCCTTTCATTTCCTAAATTGCTTTTGGTCATAATGTTTATCATGGTAATAGAAAATCAAACTAGAGTAAGAACAATTGTAGCAAATAACAGCAAAACTGAACATAATGTATGGGATTTCCCATGTATACCCTGTTCCTACATACACATGTGTATATGCCATGTAATATCTATTGCAATCAAGATACAAAGAGGAATCTAGTGATGTCGATTTTGTCAGTGCCACCCATGTGGTATGGTAGTAGGACTTTTCTAGGATGCAGCAGCCTGAGGGTCAACCATGATCCTGTAGTAGGCACAATTAACTTATTGGGGCAAAAAAAAGATGGTAGGAAGAATACGGAATGATCTCAGGTAGGCAACTGAGGGGCTAAGGATCTGGATTCAGTCCTCAGCACATGAAAAAAAAAAGGAAAGATTAACTATTATGGGTTCCCTTAAACCTTATTTACAAAACAGGTATAGTTTGCTTATTCTTGTACTACATACTGAATATTCATTTAGTTTAGTTTTTTGGGGGTAGTGCTAGTACTGGTAATTGAACCCAGGGCTGTGTGCATGCTACACAGCATTCTACCATTGAGTCATGCTTCAGCCTCATTGTTGGATTTTATTCGTGGATTCTACCACTTAGCTACATCCTCAGTCCTCTTTCTACTGTTTTTTAAAGATAGGGTTTCTCTGTGTAGCTTTGGAGCCTGTCCTGGCACTCGCTTTGTAGATGAGGTCGGCCTCAGACTCACAGAGATCCACCTGCCTCTGCTTCTCGAGTGCTGGGCTTAAAGGCGTGTACTACCACCACCCATCCTTACTTTTTACTTTGAGATAGTCTTCCTAAATTCCCCAGGCCGGTAACTAATTTACTCTATAGCGTTGGCTCACACTGAATGTGCAGTCATCCTACCTAAGACTGTAGGCCTCTGCCACTGTGCCAAGATTCATTTAGATTTAATCATATATTTACCACACATATATTTTTCCCACATGTATCAGTTTTCTTTTATGCAAAATATGCATTTAAAAGCTTACATTAAGCTGGGTGTGGTGGTGCACACCTTTAAGCACTCAGGAAGCAGAGGCAGGTGGATCTCTGTGAGTTCAAGGCCAGCCTGTTCTACAGAGTGAGTTCCAGGACAGCCACCAGGGATGTTACACAGAGAAACCCTGTCTCAAAAAACCAAAACAAACAAGCAAACAAATAAAAAAAAACAAAAAACCTCCAAACTTATATTAATTTGGTGTGTGTATACATACCCATAAGACATGTGAGGAGGTCAAAGGACAACTTTCAAGAGTTAGTTATTTTCTTCCATTATTTGGGTTCAGTGAATCAAACCCAGGTAACTAAAATCCTTTTTGTGGAATCATTTTGTACACTGTGAAAATGTGTTACTCTGATTGGTTTAATAAAAAGCTGAATGGCCAATAGCTAGGCAGGATTTTTGAGACAGAGAGGATGCTGGGAAGAAGAAGGCAGAGATGCCATGAGACACAGTGCAAGCAGGATGGGCAGTATGGAGATGAGGTAATAAAGCCACAAGGCAAAAAGTAAATCAATAGAAATTGGTTAATTTAAGTTATTAGAACCAGTTAGAAACAAGCCTAAGCTATCGGCCAAACTTTCATAATTAATAAGAAGTCTCTATGTCATTATTGGGGAGTCAATGGTCCTGATGAAAAATCTGCTTATACACCTTTACACACTAAGCCATCTTGCTGGCCACAAAATGCATCTTTCTGTGATGACATGTTTGTAGGAAAATTTCTACTTTTTGTTTGCACCATACTTCATGTTTGAAAAATATTTTAGGAGTGCTTAAGAGTTGTCTCAGTGGTTAAAAGCACTTGTAGTTCTCCCAGAGGACCCCAATTAAGTTCCCAGCTTCCACATGACAGCTTACAAACGTCTGTAACTCCAGTTCTAGAAGATCCAATGCCCTCTTCTACCCCCATGGGCACCAGGTATGAACATGTACATATAAATAAAAATAGGTAATACCTTTAGGAAAAAGAAAGACATTTTAAAGATGGGTGTGGAGTGTGTTATGTCTAGTTTGTGACACCCCCAAAAGACCACCAAGGAGCTGACTCACTGATAGAAATGCATAAGGTTTATTGCTCTATCCCAATGTTGTAGGAACCCTGTCTGGTTAACTCAGGCAGCAGCCACCAGAGGAGGTTCCCCACCCTGTCTGTTGCTGGGGTTTTTTCAGACAACCCTAGCCGCAGGGTTACAGGATTACATCAGCAGGTGGAGAGAAGTATTGGTCAGTCCCTGATTGGTTGATATTTGGGAACAATTAGGGAAAATTTTCAAAGTCTTATGTTTGGCATGAAATACTTGTTCCCAGATATTTTTATTGGCTGTAGAAGGGAACATTTTGTGGTTTCTGTGGTTTTGTTTGTTTCTTGCAGGTGGCCTATTGCACATAGTAACTAGGAACTAAGCATCCTGGAAGCTAAGCGGAAGGGTTTTGTCTGTCCTGGAGTTCCTCTGTGTCCAGTTTTTCTAAGGATGGAGTTAGCTCCATCCTCTCTAGTTAACCTTGCTCTTTCAGGGTTCACTTTTGTAATCCCAGCACTTGAGAGACTGAGGCAGGATGATTGCAAATTCAAGGCCTGCTTTGGCTATACAACAAGTTTTAGACCAGCTTGGGTTACAGGAGACCCTGTCTCAAAACAAAATCAAAATTGCACTAAGGGTCTTTGAGGTGTTGAGTATCTTTCTCAGTCACTCTCCACTTTATTTTAATTAAAAAAAACTTTTTTGTATGTGTGTCTACATGTGGAAGGCAGAAACAACGTTGAAGAACCAATTCTCTGCATCCACCTTTATGTGTGTTCTAGGGTTCTTACTTGCTGATATATCTTGCTAGCCCTCCATCTTATGTCTTGAGATGAGTTCTCTCACTGAATCTGAGACTTGTCAATTTGTTTACGTTGGCTAGTCAGTGAGCTATAGGGATCCTCCAGATAGCTTTACCTCCCTAGCACAAGGATTACAGATGATCACTGTCCTGCCTGGCACATGCTTGTGTGGTAAGTACTTTATCAACTGAGGGAGCTCCTTGCCTCTGACAAGCCCCCTAGCTAAATTTTTAATTTTTTTGAGACAGGGTTTCTCTGTGTATAGCCCTGGCTGGCTGTCCTGGAACTCACTCTATAGACGAGGTTGGCCTTGAACTCACAGAGATTCACCTGCTTCTGCCTTCCAAGTGCTGGGATTAAAGGCATGCACCACTACTGCTGGGCTTCCTGGTTGTTTTAAACATTTTATGTTTCTGTCTGGTTTCCTGTAGTTTCCATTATTTTACTTCTAGGTATTGATTTCTTTTGCTGTATCCTGCTTGGAATTGGTTGTTTTCTGTGCCTAAAGATAAAATTACAATAGCTTGATTTCATTATATTCATTTATTTTGAGTTTTGAAGACAGGGTTTCTCTGTGTAATAGCCCTGGTTGTCCAGGAACTCTCTCTGTAGACCAGGCTGGTCTCGAACTCACTGAGATACACCTGCCTTTGCCTCCCGAGTGCTGGGATTAAAGGCGTGTGTCACTGCAACCAGTGCTCTTAACTGCTGAGCTAACTCTCTAGTCCCAACTTTATTTTTAATTGCCAATTTTCTTTAGTATTTATCAAAGTCTGCAGATCTATTCTTAGACCTAGTGCAGTGAATTACGTTTATGTCAAATTTCCATTCTTAATTTTTAATTGTGGTGCTTTTGTTTCTCAGACTAATGTCCATCTTGTGGAAAGACAAAAATGAACTTGGACTTCTGATCTTCCTGCCTCCATCTGCCCAGGGCTGGACTTTCCTTACCTCTTGCTTGTAGCCTAGTATTCAAGATCCTAGGTGACAATTGAGAGTCCCCATCTGTATTTTTGTGTCCCAGAGCTGAAGTGGCAGCTGAATGACTTTGCCTACTCATCATTCTCTCCAGTGTAGGGACCATGATCTTGGATTTCACTTGAATGCCATCATTTGGACCTTCATTTATTATTTGTGTGGCTACATGGAGCTGAGGTGATCTTTGCTGTCTGCTGAGCTTCACTGTTATGTCCCGGAAGTAGAATAAAGTAGAAACGACCAATTATTTGCTAATTTATTTAGTGATTTACTTAAAGCATTGGTTGTACTGCCTATTTGCCAAGCATGAATGACTTCACTTGCTACCTGGAATAGAATGACCTAGATAAATAGCTGAAACAATGGGTCATTGCCCTTAACAACCTGATGACTGCCACAAAGGCTTTTGTAAATTATGCTTGCTTGACAACCCCATCTTGTGGTTTTAGAGTATAAAATGAGAATACAAACTAGACCCAGTATTGAAGCCTTTCAGGAGCTGTCCAGGCTTTGCTCCACTGGTGACATCATTCTTCCACTCTCATTTTTATCAGCATGCTTATTCCAAAAAGATTCCTGTAACACCCTCATTGTACCTCTCATTTCTGAAGTGCTGTTGGCCTATTGTGTGTTTGGTCCTTGATAGAGACTCACATCTGAATGATTAGCTGAATGTACTCACCTCTCCCTTGTGCTTCTCTGTGTTAGGACCCTGCAGCCAAGGTGAAAGGCAACTACACCTGGGCCTTCATGACTACCATAATCTGCTCATTCAGAGACAGCCAATGTTGTAGCCCAGACCTAATGTCTCTATTTTAGTGCAGCTACAAACACCTGAGGTGAGAGTTGACTGTCCCACCTAGAAGTCCCTGATTTCATTCAGTATAGGTATTTAGATATTCTATGTCAGTGGAACTCCCCATATTAGCCCATGAATTGCAGCACCAATGTTGGCACCAGAACTAAGGTAATGTACTGGAGAAATGGTTTAGGTGTGCCTGCTGGTCTTGCAAAGGACCTGAGTTTGGTTCTCAGCACCCACATCACACAGCTCACAGTTCCAGCTCCAGGGGACTTGACACCCTCTTCTGGTCTCCAGGGGCACCCGCATATGCACATACAGACATACACATAAATAAAAAAAAATAAGCATATATTTTAAAAGAACTAAAGTGATGGATGACTCTCCTTAGCATATGTCATGTTTTTCTCATGTGGACTCCCATAGCTGAGGGTGACTCTTAATTCATGGGAATCTCAAATCTCCCATCAATTGACTGTGCTCACTTGGTCCCTCATGATTGTTCTTCAGTGTAGGCATTCAGAGCTGAGGTGACCTGTGAATATGTTTACTGAGGATCACATGCCCCTTACCCGTGGAGCTCATCAGGACCCTCATCTATGTTCCTTATATAATACCAAGAGGTAAGGTGACAGCAGAGTGTCCTCACTAGAGCCTTTGGCTTCTGTTCCAGTGCCCACATACACCACCACCCAGTGAGAGAGAATATGCTAAAGAGATACTTGTGTGTTCCCTCTTTTGCTATTTAAACATTAACCTCATGTCAGGACCCTAAGAATGGACTTTGCAAGGGGGCCCACTGGATCTGTTAATCCCTCTTTTCAATAACCACATTGAAGAAATCTTTTTCACTATTAACTTGGCTCTTTTAATTGGCTTATTGAGAATGGATGTCTGAGCCTGGCTTATTAGGGCTGCTAGAGGCAGACTCTGACTCTTAAATAACAAGAGAGACCCTTAAGAGTCTGTAATTTGTCTCTGTCTCCTATCAAGTGCCCTTTACCACTATTTGCTGTGCAGATAAAGCTCTCCTCTCACAACCTGGAGGTACCACTTCTACATGAAGCAGGGGATACAGTTAACACTCCAGTATGGGGTGGGTGGATGTGCTGCTGTGACAAACTTAGAAGAGCCCATATCCCCCTTGCCTTTGTGTGAATTAGCCTATCATGTCAGATTGTGAAGTTGATCTCCCAGCCATGGGCTGAGATGTGGTCACCACCTATATCAGGGTTAAAAAAAAAAGAGGACATGTGTGCTCCCTAATCCGATTTGCATTCTGGCACACTCTTTTTGCAAAAAGAAATTGCCTTGCTGAGATTGCACAACACCAAGATTATTCTCCAACAGTGCCATATGCCATCCTAGAAAATAGGCAAGAACAAACTTGGCAATGTTATTTCTTTTGCCTTTATCCATTTTTCTTGCTGGTTTCTGGGAAGGAGTCTCAGCTCATCCTTTAGGTCTGAGGCCCTGCCTGCCATCCTCACCCTAACCAGACTGTATTGCCATCCTGGATAGGAGACCAGGGAGGGGTAGGGCACCCAGTTCTCAATAGCAGGGTTGTGAGAGGGCTTGAAGATCCACTCAAAATCCAGATCATTTGAGGTCATAAGGCCCACCCTAAATCTGGCTACACCTGGTGGCAGCCAACAGAAAAGGACATGGACAAAGGAAACTTTTTTTTTTTTTTTGCCTGCTTGTCTTCACTCATGCTGGCAACTTCACTTTTCTTATTCATGAGCCATTTCTTTTCTTTTTTTTTTGGTTTTTTCTTCTTTTTTTTTTTGTTTTTTCAAGACAGGGTTTCTCTGTATTGCTTTGGACTGTCCTGGAACTCACTCTGTAGACCAGGTTGGTCTTGAACTCACAGAGATCCGCCTGCCTCTGCCTCCCGAGTGCTGGGATTAAAGGTGTGCGCCACCAATGCCCGGCCTCATGAGCCATTTCTTTGCTGGTCTTAGCACCCACCTCCTTGGGATTCCAACCTAGACTGAAAAGGGACTCCAGCATGAGATTGGGGCTGCTGCGACATACAGTCTCATAGACTGAGCAACTACTGGATTCTTGGCCTTTCTGTCTAGAGACAGCATTGTTGGACTACTTGTACTGCAGCTTGTAAGCAACTTATATATATATATTGTTCTGTTCCTTTATAGAACCTGACTAATATACATGAGAGTGTGGAAAAAAAGTCTCTCTTTTATAGTCCTGGATAGCAGGGAGGAAATGACAAGAGGGACAGGTAAAACTGTTTGAGGATTTAATCGCAAGTTTGGGGTAGGGAAATCCTAGCTGCTACTTCTGCCTTCCTTTGGTGAGAAGGCTGCCTGAGGGTGGGATGATGACCATTGAGTATGGAGTTGGTTAGGGGACATCGCCAGCACTACAATATTGTTAGGCAGTGTGTGGTCTCTTCCAGCTGGTGAGGAGGAATGTCAAGTGGCACTGAAGCTGGTGTGGCCATGGACAAGTCCTCTCACATGGGTATCCTTGACCACTTCCTTTGAGTTTTGAGAAGCTTGCCCATAGACACTAGGGAGTGTGGTTTGGTCATTATCCCTCTGAGGCTCAATGCTCCTCCCCATTGTTCCTAACTCCTGTCTTGAGGAGTGTAGGAACAGACTGGTAGGCTGTTCTTCCCTTTGCAGGGGCTGGCGTGAGGGGAGGAGGTGATTTGGTTCTTGTGGAGAGATGGGTGGCTCAGATAGGGTGTTCAATGGTGGCCTGAAAGCATTACAGTGAGTTTTGAGAACTTGTTAGTTGAGGAATGTAGCTGGGCTCAGTGGTAGTGGTAACAGCAGCAGCAGCATAGGGTATAGAATGGTGGCATGAACCCAGGGACTGGAATGTGTGGCTAAGGCCTATGGTCCCAAAGTCCTTCCAACGTGGGGGTCAATAATCCTAATATAGGGTTAGGTGGTGGGAAGGATAGATACAGAAAGGGTGGCCAAAAGGGGCAGAGTGCAGATGGTATAAATTTTCAAGGCTCAGAGCTTGTGAGGGTTCACCCACTTGTAGGTGCCCTCATACTGGAAGCCCACTCTCTTCATCAGCTCATCTGCCTCTGTGGGACCGCGGCTGGGAAGCAAAAGGAGACATGAGTGACCCTTGGCCCTGGTAATTCCCATTGCCCTGCTTCATTTGACTTGGCTCACTTAGCTCCCATCCTTCCCTTACCTGCCATAAACATAGGGAATAGGCTGGGGCCTCTCTCGATCAATCTTGTGCAGCAGTGGTGTGAAGATACGCCAGGCTTCCCTGAGTTCATCACTGAAGGGATATATTATATAATGGAGTAGAGGCATATGTGTGGGGAGGGAGAAGGCCACCTCTCTTGCCTGACTATATTAGGCTGGGAGTCTCTCACCTGCGGACAAAGTGCATCTGGCTCCCACAGAAGACATCCAGGATGAGGCGTTCATAGGCATCAGGGAGCTTCACATTCTGCAGGGTTGGGGAAGGGGTAATGTTGCTGATACCACTGTATTTGCTTACCTAGGTCCTCCCTTAGGGCCTTGCCCAGATGGTCCCCCCCTGTGGGAACCTTGTATCTGTTGCCATAGGTCAAGTCCAGCTCTGACTCTTCAGGGTTGAAGAACATGCCAGGCTTCTTGGTCATCATCTTGGTGTATACAGCCTCATTGGGCTGCACACGGATCACCAGCTCGTTACGCTTGCACTGCTGGTGGAAGATGTCGCCTGCCACATCTCGGAACTGCAGTCTCACCTCAGCCTTGCGTTCATTCAGGGCTTTGCCACAGCGAAGGATGAAGGGTACTCCTATGGGGCAGGGCTGGCCTCAGGGACTGGCTTTCCTATAGTCTTGTGTTACCTGAGTGTGTGTGTGTGTGTGTGTGTGTGTGTGTGTGAGTGTGTGTGTGTGTGTGTGTGTGTGTGTGTGTGTGTGAGGGAGGGAGATTCCCTGTGCATGTGTACATGTGTGCATCCCTTAACACTTAGTACCATGTGTCTGACCACGCTAATAAGTATATATTGGAGGGTACATCTAGTACTGCCTTTCTGGGTCCTAGAGGTGTCACCTACCATCCCACCGCTCATTCTCCACATAGAGGACAGCTGCTGCAAAGGTGGCAGTGGTAGACCCACGGGGCACTGTGGGGTCATCTAAATACCCGTTGGTAGCTTCTCCTTCTCCATTGGGGTTGCCCACATACTGGCCAAGGACTACATTGCTGCTTTCCACCTCTGAGATACATTTCAACACTTTGACCTGGGAGAAAAACAATGTAGAATGGGTGGGCCCCTGAGTTCCAGGGAGGGTGTAGGGAAATGGATATGAGGCCAGTGCCTTGTCATAGAGTGGACTACCATGGGGCACAGCTGCTGGGGACATGCCTCTCTACCTACCTTCTCATCACGGACATCATCTGAATCTGTGGAGGCAGGTTTTTCCATGGCTACCAGACACAACATCTGCA